AAAATGCGCCTGATCCTAGTTTACGCGAGCTTTTTTCAGCATCTCCCAATTATTGTTTTAATCCGATTCTGAATTTTTACGGGGATTTCGTGTTATGCTTTTTTTCGTTAATTTGGAAAAGTGTGTGCATCAAAATTGCTAACCGGGGATACAAGAAACATGCTGACAAAAAACTTCAGCGATATGTGAAAACCCTTTTTATATATTTTCGTAGAATTTGTGAAAAAGTTACGAAGATGGGCATGACATTTTCTTGAAATACGCTTATACAATTTGTTTGCTTCGAGCGGGTTTTGCTGTTTTTTTTTGTTTTGTCTGAACCAGGCACCAAACAACGCGTGTAGAAAACAGCACTTAGACTACATGCCGTCCATTGTACTCGTATCCCTTGTAATCTGGTTAAAATCTGCACGTTCTTTTTTTAATAAACCTAAGCAGATTGTGGGGGGGGGTGTCGAAGAGCTCAGGTGTTCATCTCTCAACGCATTGCGGCCAAATGACTCATATCTAATTCTCGCAAATTATTTTGCAGTCTCATCTGCTCAGTAAGAGTAAAAAACTAGATAGACATTCTGAGATTGAAGGCAACATGAGTGTTGGCCATCTGCAGCCCCTCGATGGCTCCCAGTCATTTCTGACCCAAGTGGGGAGTGCTTACGTACCGAGGAATGCTTGGTCTGAGCCAACTCTGGTCAAATGGTCAGACGTCGCATTACCAGGTACTGCCAAGTGACCAAGAGAAAAGCAACATCGTTATGTTTGCCAACATATAAGTGTGAAATAGTCGAATCTTGCGTTGTCAAACTAGTTTGGAAGCAATTAGAGGGCTGGCTTATGCCCTAAGTGCAGCTTGGCTGTTACTGCAGATACGTAAACCCATTCCCCTCGACCAATTTTCCACCACGTAGTCCATGGCCGTGAGGATTGCAAATACCTCAGCCTGAAAGACCTAAGCATACTCCCCAAGCGAAAAGTGAAGCTTGTCCCCATTAACTTAAGATAAATACCACAGATCCTGATCTTGAGATTTAGAACCATCGGTGAAGATTCGAAAATGTGAAAGCCCGGGCTTGGTGCTGCTTTACAATGCAATTTAAATCGAATTGTTTCCAAAGGTGCAAAATATTTCTTAATGGTTCGAGTTAGGATTGAAAATTGGTTTGGTTTTACACGATTTTCTTTTTTTACCCGCTATACAATGCAATTTCATTCTAGTAGGAAGATATACCTGTTTTGATACCTTTTTTTTAATATGAAAGCGATTGATGGATTACGTGATGTTTCACCGTTAACTCATTGAAACAAGAAGCTACTGAAAAAAAAAAAATTTTTTAATAAAAAAGAACTTCTTGCCATCAAAAGAAAGTAATATTAACCAAAAATTTTCAACGGAATTTACCAGCAGTTTAAAAATTTAAACCAGTTTTGACTTTTTTCAATAGTTTTTTTTTTTACCTTTACTAATAATTTAAAATAAACTCAGCCAAAAATTTTTGTTAAGAGTTCCTACATAAATTTTAATATGATATTATTAAAAGGTTTGTCATTTCAAAGTTAAAGCCCCATGGTAAAATAAAATATATTATATTGAAAACACTTTTATAAGCTATAAAGTTTGATATGTATGGAAGTTTTTAAACTGATTGGATGTAGTATTAGGCTATGATATGGCCAGAGTAGCAGAAAATGCAGGAAAATGTACTTACAATGGTATGAAAATAAAAATGATGTTATGCTCTGGTATTTATGGTATTGTTATTAAAATATTTGAGGGATGTAAGTATGTATAAATATACAAATATATGTATATATGGGTAGGGCGTCGGCATACATATGTATTTATGATATGTACAAATTTCCTAGCTAAACGTATGTTCATGATATTTAAGTATTTACATACATACTGTGTATATTTCTGGCAACGTCATTTACACTTTTTCTAACATTTCGTTATATTTCACAGTAATTAGGCTAGCTTTTACAGTTGGCTTATTTTCCTATTTTTTTTTCATTGCATTAATTAATATTTAATTGAATTTTAATTTAGATTTTGTAAAAAAAAATATTATTAATAATGCGATGCACATACATACATACAATTACATTTGCAATCTTTACAAATACGAGTACATTTAAACATCAATTAACGTGCATGTCAACAGTTAAGCCAGCGCCGAGAGGACGTCAATTGGAGTAGCACCAATGCTGGCGATTTTGCAATTACGTAAAT